GTTAGTTCCACAAGGCTCATTTTGGGACTCTGCTATGATTTCCCAAGTGATGGGACTCTGACAGACTCCATCCCTCCTCGCCTTTGTCGATTTCGGCATTGTCACGCTGAACAAAGCAATTAATATGTCTTTAATTTGCACCTAACGAAACAGAGAGGAGGCATTTATGCTGTGTGACATGTAGACAAATTTTTCTTTAAAAACAAAGTTTCACGCTGTGACTACAATTAGTGTAATTGTCAGCTCCTCTCTTAAAAACAAATATGTATTAAAGGGAAAGCCAGCTCAGTTCCCTCCTCTGGTGTGAAAATGAGACAATCAAAATCTATTGTAATTACCACAGTGATATTATAATTAGCAACGATTAAGTTATTCCATGCTGCTTTTTTTCCTCTTGGCTACAATTAAAAAAGTATATATCTTCCTTCTGCACATTACCGCTGATCATATTACCTCAATACATGTCTAGGAAGTAGATAAATTAGAAGTAATTTTAAAGCAAAACTCTGTTAAAAACATATATCTTTCTGTATAATGGATTAAACATTTCTTATGGTTTACCCCCTTTAACATCTGTGTAAGAAAGAGCCATTAAAATGTCGGCTGGGCCACTGAACAATAATACTTTTCATCATGTAGGGAACACTGTGCGTCTACATGGATGAAGATGGATAAATATGGATAAATATATGTGTTATATATAGTAAATTCAGCTTGCTTTTTGCACGCACGGATACTAGGATTATGTATTAGTCTATCCAAGCATACTGGGTGATTCAAGTGTCTTTCCTCCTCCCAAATTAAAAAGCAATATCAATAATCCCCATGCAGCTGGATTGGAGACCCCCATAAAGATTTATGTCACTCTGTCCTGTTCTATAATGCATAGCTCTATTTCCCCCCAATATCTCTATGTTTCTCTAGGTCCATGCACCTCACAAGCAGTGAGGCCATCTAAAATGTTGCTTGTGGAGTGCCGAAGAGTTCTGTATTTTGTTGTTGTTGTTGTTAATGCACACCAGAGGTGCTTTTTTAAGTTAAACATGTCATTGAAGTGTTTTTTAAAAAAAAATCCTACATGGTTTTGCTTTAACTGCCCTCCCCGCCCCCCGCTAAAAAAATGGAATCACTTTTATTTCTCTAGCAAAGATACCCTGGACCTACTGGTCTGCAATTTGGCAGTCTTAATCCACTCTGGAGGGCTCCTGTGCCTGTAAATTTATCCACTTTGGTTAAAAAAGGAACGTGTTATCACTGTTTTTAAAATGCCTCATTATAATAAATGGGGAACACAAGAGCTTCATTTTGTACAGTTTCTTGAAACCCACAATATAGATTGAACTGAGCATAGAGATGCTCAGAAACAGATTGGGATTTATTTTTTTAAAAGATACAAGGTAAATCTTGTGACCTGTGTGCATCCCTATGAAAACACATTCCTGGTTATTTCCGGATATCCAAACTTCCAACCCCTGAACTTATTCCGTTCTGGAATTCTGGCCTCTATTATGAGGTAGACTCATTTATCAGGTAAAATATTTTAAGATAAGCTTTTATAAGGACCTTTTCAGCTGCCAAGTTTATATGAAGATGCATTTGGTAACCGTGGGTCACCCAGTTACGATGTAAACTGTACCCCTCTTGAAGCATTACACTTAAGTAAACACTTGAGAGGGAAGAAGAGATGAGGGTGCTAGCTCTGCCCACACTGTGATTCCTGTCACCTCCCAACTCATGGAAGGTGATGTTCAGAAGTGGGGATTCCCCTGTACTGGTGGAGCATGCATTTTACAACCCTGGGAAAAACAATTCTGAAATATGTACTCCCCACGTACAGGAGATTCTGACTTTTGGCTTCCTTGAGTTTGAAAGCAATGGGAATGGCGATGGAGGGGGCAGAGCTAGCATGCTGGTCTCCACAGCCCCCTCAGGTGTCTACTTAACCATGAACAGAACTCCTAAAGAGGACTTCTTATGAACTTCCAGCTGCCTAGCTACAGTGAAAATATGCCTACCATTCTGGACTACACTTCATGCTTTCCAGCATGATAAGCATTCAAAATATAAAAAAAGCTTCACTGCTATATAAGGCTAAACCTGTTCCTCGTTTCTCCCCCTCCTTTCCAGACTCAAAGTGCTTGTTTTGGCAGCTATCCAGGACTAAATATGACAAGACCTATACCCTGGACCGATGTAATTCTCATTCCCTGCTAAGTGCCTACTTTTTTAAACCATGCTGAGACAGAGCACCGCGCCTCTCCTTTCCTGTGTGCCTGTGTCAGTGATGTTAATCATGTCTCCATTGGTATCTTGTCTCTGAAAAGCCAACTCCTGAGCCTTTCGTTCTGTGAGTGGAAATCCTTTTCGGAAATCTGCCTCCATCTCGGCCACCGCATGGGGTGATCCAGCTGAGTCTCATTAGAGACACAGAAAGCTCACAGGACCAGGTGCGATATGACAAAGGAGAACTACATCTGTTCCAATTTTGCACAGGCGCAGAAATAACTGTTCTCCCTCCCACACACACATATCTCATTCATAAAAGTTTACACCACAATATATTTGTTAGGCTTTAAGGTGCAACAAGACTCTGCTATTTTTGCAACACAGATTAACATGACTACCCCTCTGGAGCTATTGGTTTATCTAGTCAGGGATTGGCCAATCTCTCTTCTGCCCCCTCTCATTGGTAATCTGTCAGGGGCTTCTTCTACGTTCCTAGCAGGTAAGATGTGGGCTATCAGCAGGTGCAGCCTTTGATTCCTTTGTACAACAAACAGAACCTGCCAAAACACTCCCCTCTAAAACAATAGAACTGAAGGGACCATGAGGGTCATCTAGTCCAACTTCCTGCAATGCAGGAATCTTTTGCCCAACGTGGGGCTCAAACCCACAACCCTGAGATTAAGAGCCTCATGCTCTACCTACTGAATGAGCTATCCCAACAGATAGCTTTATTTTAAAAATTCAGAAGATTTATAAACTCTTAGGGATGCATTTAAGGGACACGGGTGACGCTGTGGGTTAAACCACAGAGCCCAGGACTTGCCGATCAGAAGGTCGGTAGTTCGAATCCCCGCAACGGTGTGAGCTCCCGTTGCTCGGTCCCTGCTCCCGCCAACCTAGCAGTTCAAAAGCACATCAAAGTGAAAGTAAATAAATAGGTACCACTCCGGCGGGAAGGTAAACGGCATTTCCATGCGCTGCTCTGGTTTGCCAGAAGCAGCTTAGTCATGCTGGCCACATGACCGAGAAGCTGTATGCTGGCTCCCTCAGCCTATGAAGTGAAATGAGTGCCGCAACCCCAGAGTCGGCCACGACTGGACCTAATGGTCAGGGGCCACTTTACCTTCAGGGATGCATTTGGTTCAGTTCACAGTTCAGTGCAAAACTACCTGATTCACATTCCCTGAACTGCTTAGAAGCCTGGTTTGGCAATAAGAACATAAGATGAGCTCTGCTGGATCAGGCCAAAGGCCCATCTAATTCACCATCCTATTTTCACCGTGGTTTTGCCTGGCTGGAATGTGTCCTTGAAATCTGCTAATACCTCTTGGTTGTGTGGATGGAGGATGAAGAGGTGTTTTGTGAGTGTGGGTAGAAACTATCCTGCTGTACAAAGTAAAAAAAAAAGTACATTTCTTGTTCCACCCACCTTTGCCCCTGGCCCCTCTGACCACTGGCATGTGGCCCTTGGAAGGTTACCCATAAAAGAATGTGGCCCCTGGGCTAAAAAATGCTCCTCTGGTATAGAAGCAGACACTCAGCTATGAGATGACACTATATGCCTTTCTTAGATCAGAGCCCAGTACAGCGCTGCTTATTTCGGAGGAGCAGCCCTCCTCCCCTTTTTGACAAGTTAAGAGCAGCATCATTTGCTGGGTTCCCAGCTATCCTTTCATTTGAAGTTTCCCATTCCCTTTGAAAAGAATTTCCAGTAATCTAATAAGGGGAAATGTGTTCTGCAAGCACACAACAGCAGCCCAATGTTTTACTGTAATTTTCAAGCGCTACCCTTTTGGCCACTAAAACAGCCTGGCCTGCTTTGAACTTGCATCACCACTGATTTGAGAGTAAAGACCGCCATGCCACCAGCCCATTCCACTTCACTTGCTTTCAGCTGAAGCAAACCCAATGCCTGCTCTCGCTGCATTTGGCCGATAAACTCTTTCTCATCTCTTCAGAAGATTGCTGGCTGGGAAGCAGGGATGAAATGGGCAGGCTGAAGAGTGCAAGAACACAAGGGGGCTTGAGCATTTTTGTGAAGCAAGAAATCTGCGGCTCTAGGCCACATTTGCACCATACATTTCAAGTGCTATGACCATCATGGCTTCCCCCAGGGAATCCTGGGAGCTGTCCTTTGTTGAGAGTGGTTAGTAGGCCCCTATTCCCCTTGCAGAGCTGCAATTTACAGAGTAGTTTAACAGCCAATCCCTCTTCACAGGTAACCCTGGGAACTGTAGCTCTGTGAGGGGAATAGGAGTCTCTAACAACTCTCAGTGCCCTTAACAAACTACAGCTCCCATAATACTTTTGGGGAAACCACGACTGTTGAAAGTGGTATAATAGTGCTTTAAACATATGGTGTGAATGGGGTCTGTGCATCATCCCACAGTCAACAGCTGGTGGACTTGTTTCAGTAGCCATTTTCTTCCAAGCAAGAATGACCTCCAGGACACACCCTCATTGAACCCGATTTACATCCTGAATGTTTTGGTCTGTCTAGAATGTGCCATTGTGTTAATTCACAGAGCCCTTAACAACTCGAGCCCAAAGGATCATCTGATTCCTTGGGTTCCACCTTGATCACTGAGATGCTCTGATGGGGCACAAAGGTTCAGTTCGCCTTTACTAGGGACTCAGCTTTTAGTGTACTGCTACCTGTCGCTAGAGATTCAGCAGGAATAATTCCTGCCTCCTTTTAGAAGTCTCTTTAAAAAGATAGGTCTTTGGAATGTGAGTTTCTTTCAACCAACCAGTATTTATTGATGATAAGTCCTGGAAGTTCAGTGGGAGAGTGTCTGCTTTGCATGCAGAAGAACCTAGGTTCAGTCCCTAGCATCTCCAGGTAGGGCTGGAAGAGAACCCAAACCCTGAAATCCTGGAGAGCCACTGCCAGTTGGTGTAAGAGATGCTGAGCTGGATTGGTCTGGCCCAGTATAATGCAACTTCCAATGTTCTCATGTTCTTCCTTTGAGTTCTCAAAAGAGATTTTCCCTACAACCAAGCCTTACCTTCAAATGTTCCTCACGCCACACCATCACACTATATTTCCTCCCGTTCCAAGCATGAATGCTCACATCTGAGTTTAAGGATATAATTTAATTTTGCCATGCAAATTATGCTTATCCAGGCACTACTGTTCTCAATTGATTAGCACATTACCATTGATTGCTGATGTTCTTGGCTTTCCCCTCTGTGATATTGGAAAGTGAGTTGACAGTAATTAAATAATCATTTCATCACCAGGAGTGATTGAGTTTACCTAATGCAGTGGGTCTCTTATGCAACTAGTATTGAAATCCGAACTCTTATAGAATTATATTGATGGATGCCCGAAGGCCAGGGAATAGGCAGAGCTTGTGGAGAGCAGTTTGCACTCCAAAGACTTCTTCAACTGGTAAAACACAGAGTTCAGGAGGTCGTGCTTCACAATAATTAGTTGTAGTGGAAACAGCTGCTGGGATCAAGGCAGCATTTGAACATGGCGAGTTATGCCATAAACAGATAGAGCCCATTACACGGGGATTTCTCGATGCTCAAGGGGGAGATAACATTTTATAGCCTTTTTATATCTTTCCTGTCCCTCAGAAATGGGCAGAGGAGGACAAGAGGAGATGGTGTTTGGATGTGAAAGCTACCATTGTGTCCTTGAAAGATGCCAGTGGTCTGAAACCAAGGAACCCAGTAGCAGTAGACAGATAGCTTGCTCTCTGCACCACCAGAGAAAGCCTTGAGCAAAGGGAACTATGGGCCTCGTACATGCTAGTCCACAGCATTACCCTGAACATGAGCTGTATCTAATGTTCTCTGTCCTCTAGCACACAAAAAGACCACAAAAACGTTTGGGTTTTAATGCTGGGCAAGGGAGGAATCCAAAACAGCAGCTGCACTAGCAGAAACTCATTGTGCATCAGATTAAGCAATCTACCATGCAACTAAATTACCAGAAACCTTCTTTATGCACTCCCTTTTGCAACCATGTTCCACTAGTGCAAAGCAGAGTCAGTACACTGCTAAGTGACTTTAACTTCCTGCTACATTGAATACAACCCCAAGTCTGGAAGGTGTGTTGCCCAACTGTTTCAGCCCAACTGGAACAGATGATTTGGGAAGTCAATATTTATTTGCACACCATATTACACAGTTTATGTTCTTAAGCTGCGCTCTGATATTCTCCTTGTTTTGTTTGCATGTTATTGTTTCAAGTACTTGCAAAGAGTGGGTGACACAGACAAGTGACAAACAAATTGACATTATTCCCTAACAGTGCCTTTAGCGCAGAAACATCTGTGAACGGGTGGCATTCACATGCCATCCTCAATCTTGTAAGGAGTATCAGACCCACTACTCATTGTGCTGCCTATTTAAGTTTGTTGCTTCATGGACATTTTGACCAGAAGACAGAAAACTACAACCATTAAATGGAAATGGGTGTGCCACACACACACACACATGAGAAGGGCTGTAGCTCAGTGGCAGAACATCTGCTATGCGTACAGAAGGTCTCAGATTCAATCCCCAGCATATCTAGGTAAGTCTGAAACTTTGAATTGTCACTGCCAGTTAAGGTGGGGAATACTGAGCTTTTTGCCTCTACACCATAGAATTCTTCTACTTCCTCTTCCTCTTCCTCTTCTTCTTTGTATACCACCCTTCATCTGACGATCCCAGGGCAGTTCACAACAGAAAAATGCAAAATGAGTACACAAAATACATTAAAAAAAACCAATACCCCGCCCACCACATAGAATGCTAATCAGCCAAATGCCTGGTTGAAGAGAAACATTTTTGCCTGGTGCCTAAAGATATGTAATGAGTTGAGCCTCCTGTGGGGAGAGCATTCCACAAACAGTGAGCCACACCAGAAAAGGCCTGTTCTCATGTTGCCACTGACAGATCACTCATGGAGGAAGCAAATGAAAAACTGTTGTGTGGGCAGGGTGATCCCTCCCCCTACCTGACCAATCCCCTGGCAATGCCTCCCCAGGCAGAATTGGGTGATTGGCTGAGGTAGGTGGAGACCTCCAGGTATCCAGCCTGGGGAGGGCAAAGCCAGCCCGTACTACTGGGAGCTGCACTGGGATCCGGGGGGGGGGGTGCGTGAGACCACACAAAATGCCCCCCCATTTGATGTGGGGAGCAGTCATTCCACAAACAGGGAGCCACTCCAGGAAAGGCCTGTTCTCATGTTCCCACCTACAGATCACTCATGGAGGAAGCAAATGAAAAAATGCCTCAGATGATGATTGCAGGGTCTGTGTCTGCTCCTATGGGGAGAGGCGGTCCTTGAGGTGTTGCGGTCCTGAGAAGTTTAGAGCTTTATAGGTCAAAAACAGCACTTCAAATTGGTCCCAGAAACTAGCTGGCAGCCAGTGTAGTCGAGCCAGGATCAATGTAATATGCTGAAATCGTCTTGCTCCAGTGAGCAACCCAACTGCCGAATTCTGTACCAGCTGAAATGTTTGAACTGTCTTCGGAGGCACTCCTACATATAATGTATTGCAGTAATCTAACCTAGAGGTTTTGGGGCACGGGTGGCGCTGTGGGTTAAACCACAGAGCCTAGGACTTTCTGATCAGAAGGTCGGCGGTTAGAATCCCGCCACGGGGTGAGCTCCCGTTGCTCGGTCCCTGCTCCTGCCAACCTAGCAGTTCAAAAGCACGTCAAAGTGCAAGTAGATAAATAGGTACCGCTCTGGCGGGAAGGTAAACGGCGTTTCCGTGCGCTGCTCTGGTTCACCAGAAGCAGCTTAGTCATGCTAGCCACATGACCCAGAAGGTGTACGCCGGCTCCCTCGGCCAATAAAGCAAGATGAGCACCACAACCCCAGAGTCGGTCACGACTGGACCTAATGGTCAGGGGTCCCTTTACCTTTACCTTAACCTAGAGGTTACCAGAACATAGACAACATAAATTAGGCCAACCCTCCCAAAATAGGGGTGCAGCTGGGCCACCAGCTGAAACTGATGAAAGGATCTTCACCACTGAGGCCCCCTGGGGTCCAAGTGACAGCAATGGATTCAGAAGTGCCCCCAAGCTCATACCCACTCCTTCAGAGGGAATGTAATCCCATCAAGAGCAGGCACTCCCCATCCATCCAGTCTATGGAACCACCCATTAATAGTGCCTCAGTCTTATCCAGACTGAGCTTCAGTTTGCTGGCTCTCATCCAGTCCAGGCAAGATCCTGGTGGATGCAAGTGATTTCCCCCCCTCAAATCGCTTTGCAAGCAAGTCACAGTGAGTTACCGTCAGTTCTACTGCCCCCTTCAGACAATACTGTAAGGGGCCCTGCATTTTCTGGGAAAAGTGATGACCTAAAATGAGAATATATTTGTGTGTTTGAGACATTCCTATTTTCAAAAACAAGGGCATATTGATAAAACTAGAGAAATTTACAGCAATAGACAATACATTCTTTTATCAAAACTCTCTGGAATGAGAGGACAGAGGAGACAATGGAATGAGGAAAATCATTTCATCCATAGGTAGATAGCTTTCTAGCCAAAGCACCCTCAGGATAACACCCAAAGAACACTTTTAAAATCATTTAAATGAGTTGTACACAGATAAGTGGGCTTAGATCTATCCACTAAACATTTTGCTAAGCAGGGATCACCCTTGAACCATAAAACAGCACCTAATACATCAAAATCCTTTGCATCTATGAGTCGGCGACCGACATGATGATGGACCTGGTTCTCTAACCTCAAGGTGTAATTTTTTCATTAAAAAAATCCTGACTCTGTCTTTTGAGCTTCCCATTACTGTAAAGACATTAGCTTCCGAACTTAATTAATAAAATCAATCACAATTTATCCTTTCATTGTTCACAGAGCCAACATACATATTTTTCTTGAGAGTTTTCCTGTAATTTTGACATTAATGGACACTGAAAATGGGCCAGTGATTTAGAGCAGATCAAATACAGTAGCCCTTGCTTAGGTATATAATAAAGTTGTCTGCCCAAAGAGGAGGCCAGGGTGACCAATTTAAGCGCAAAGTTCTGAGAGCTTATCTTTGTCAGGAGACCTGTGATCAAAGTGCACTGACACCAGTTAGAACTGGTCTTATTTCCACCAGCTGTCCATCAGATGTGGGCTTTTTGGTAGAGCTTTAGCATGAGAAGATTGGAGATTCCCTGCAGAATGAGGAACCACTAGATCCCAAAAGGACCCTCAGGTGAGTTTGGGAGAGGAATCTGTGCCTTGAAACAGAAGGATCACACTCCAATCTCATGTGCAGGTCTGATTCCTCACACAATATGTCATATTCCTGTTACACCTGTGCTTCTGCACTGTAAGGTTCTCTTCATAATGTTCTCTAGATATTTTGGACTACAACTCCCATCATCCCCAGCAAGCATGGCTGATAGTTGGGGTAAAGTTGCAGAAGAAAATATCTGGAGAAGCCTGATCTAGGCCTATAGTGATGCTCTCAAATGTTGGAAAATAGGTCCCTGTACATTATGGGTGCCACAGTGACGTTCTATGAAACTCTCTCACACAGTCCAACCATTTTGCCTCTGGCTCCACCCTCCACTGGCAGGTGGCCCCTGGAAAGGTGCTCGGAAGATAATGTGGCCCTCAGTTCGAACATGGTTCCCCAACCCTGCTATAGGTTTTTGGAGAGCTGATGGTCAAAAGAAGAGCCTGCTGGATCAGGCCAATGGTCCACCTAATCCAGCATCCTCTTCTCAAGATGGTTGCACAGAAAACCCTCAAGCAAGATCCAAACATAAGAGCATGCTAGTCATAGTAGACAATATTGAACTAGGTATATATGTGTGCCAGCCTTTGTAAAATATGGGCTAGTGGATTTTGACCATCAATATCTCATCTGAAG